AAATGTCGTCGTAAATACTCCACATCTGAAATTATTTGTGACGACATATTGTCGTCGTAAATAATCATTCCACCGCATTTGTTCTTGGTCAAATGTGTATAGCTTATTTGCGATGACAAAGAGAAAACATCGTCGCATATAGAGTGATATTAACGACACGTGTCGTCACAAATAATAAGATATTTGCGATGACAAGTCGTCGTAAAAATAGATTCCCTTTGGCGGCAAAAATTCGCGCCATTAGAAATTACGTGCCTAAACTATTTGCGATGACATTGAACTTATTAGCGACGACATGCTTAATTTATTTAATGGGGATTAATTGCGATGACATGTCATCGCAAATGACCTTTATTGTTGTAGTGTGGAGAGATGCTACTCCAGAAAATCCACATGCAACCTTTGAAATTCTAACCAACGACTCATATTCACTCATCTGAAGTTACGTGATTGCTCACCACTTAGAACCAATTTTAATTATCCTCTTACTCACAATCATCAGTAATTGTACCCTCTTTAACTATTTATAAGTTTCCTTATTATGAACTAGGCATAGAGCTTGAGGCACTTTAGGCTTGTTCGGTTACATTTTTGAGTTATAGTGATTTGAATGTAGATTTTGAGTTGAATTTAAGTTATAATTTGAGTTAAAGTTGTAACTTGAGTTTGTGTTTGGGTGTGCACATTTGAGTTATGATTTGAATTGAGAATCTATTTGAGTTTGTGTTTGAGTGAGTCAAAACTTGAATTTGTATTTAGATAGTATTTTAATAAAAACTCAATGGTGATGAAAAATTTTAATAGGGTATATGGGTAGGGTTTTATTCATCTCTTCGTTGTCAACACATAGAAAAAAAATCATCTCAATTAAAATTAAAACGAAAAAGTTATGACGTTTTTAAGAATAGAAAAAATATTGTTCATTAACTTGAGTTTGAGTTTAAAAACTTGAGTTGAAGGAGAAACTTTAATTTGGCCCCGTTCATTTCGCTGATTCGAGTTTTGCTACAGTAAAAAGCTCTCACAAACAATCACATCTAACTTTTTTGCTACAGTAAAAAGCTCTCACATAAAATTACATCTCAACTCGAATTAAAAACTCGAATCAGCGAACTACGGTTAAACTCAGATTTTAGGCACAAACTCAAGCTAAAACTCAAGTTTAAACTCAAATTTTACAAACGAACATGAACTTAAATAAAATTATAACTTGAGTTCAAACTTTTTTTGAGTTTTACTCTAAAAGAACAAGCCCTTTATATGCCAAATTTGAAGCGCTGAGTCGAGCTAGGGCAACTGTTCTACCTCCGATGAGCTAAGTAAGTTAGCGGTGGTGGCCAGTTTCCTGCCACGTGCCTAATTCTTATCAGTACTGTGGAGCTTGACGCTATATAAATGTAACCAAGTTAGAAAGAGAGTTGGATTGAAGTTTGCAACCGAATTAAGGGATCGAGCGCGATTAAGGTTGGCGATCTTGTTAGCCTGATTAACTATTGAGAGAGCGGAGCACATAGAAGAGATCTCCTTCCTCTTCTATTGACTCCACCTCGACTAAGATGAGGCAAAATGTAGCTGAAATTGGAAGAGATGAATATGTAGAGGTCATAATTTAAGGGCCCGTTTAGTTCGTTGGTTCAAATTTTTAATTCAAGTTGATATGTGATTTTATGTAAGAGCTTTTTATTGTAATAAAAAAGTTAGATGTGACTGTTTCTGAGAGAAATAGAACAAAATGAGAGAAAATAGATGATTCTAGAGAGCAAAAATAATTTTATAAAAACCAAAAGTCTCAATATTTATTAATTAATTGTAACTCGAATGAAAAAATAATCACAAACCTATTTATAGATCAATAAAAAATAATAAGAAGATAAACTTTACGTACCTAATATTTCATTAGATAATCACAATCCTAAATTCAAAATTAAATACTTATCATAAAATATATCTTCCCAGATGAATATACAACATTTCAAATTCTCGATCTTCTACATAATAATATTTTGTTCCGCATTAAGACCTTATTTTAAAAAAGAAAAATCCAGAACATATTTAAAAGAATGAGAACAGACCCTTTTCTATAGTCGGAAAGTATTGAAAAATTACGTAGGATCAGAGAAAAAATTCCAACCCTAATTCCTATCCCAACTTCATGTTAAGCATTTATATAACGATTGTATTTATATATTTTGCAAAGTTTAAAAAAATATTTTGAGTAGCAATCAAGAGAGTACAATAATACGATAGAGCCTCTGAAAATTGCAAATGGATGATGAATTCGGTAAAAACCTAAATGGAATGAAAAATTAGGTCAATCCACACAAGTCTAAATGGAATGAAAAGTTCTACACGAATTTATGAAAAAATAAAAAAAATAAAAAAAAATTTAGTAGTAGAGCTGCGTTATAAAATGTTAGATTTATATAAGATTCTATCAATTTTATGTATCTTTTTTAATTTAAATAATTTTTAGAGTAGTTATATTTGCACCTTATAAATTTATATATGGACCTACTAATTAATGCTCCTCTAATAAAGATTTAAAATTTTATTATTTTATAAATATAATTTTTATAATACCTAATTTAACTCTTTCATATCAGAACCTAATTTTAATTTTGATTTGATTTATAAGATAATATAATCCCTTTCAACAATTAATGTTATATTTCCTTTTTAGCATCAATGCAATTCTTTTTATCTTTATTTATTAATTGTTTTTGGTTTTTTTTATGATGTTTATTAAAAGTAAGAACAAAGCTCCATAACACAAAAACAGGTGGATGCGATTAAAAAACACAAGGATATGTACAATGATGTTGAAGCATATAAAGGCTCAACAATTATCGAATCTTTGCCAAAAAAAAAAAAAGATAAATCTTATAAAACATTAGATAAAATAGGTAAAAGAAACATTTAAGGAAAAAAAAAAACTCAAGACTATCTAAATTAAAAGTTTCGTTTGTGGCATCACGACTTTTTACTAACTCACAAAACACTGATGCGAGCTACAAAAGGATTTGCCCATCTACATGCACAAAGATGGCGATGTCTACTCCAATTTGTAGCAATGGGTGGTAAAGGACAGCCAGAAAACATAGGGGTTGTTCTTTTAAAGTGTATCTTGAGTGTAACTTGAGTGTAATTTTTGAGTTGAATTTGAGTTATAATTTAAGTTGAAGTTATAACTTGAATAAAGTTAAGTAAAGTTGAATAAAGTGGGAACTTAAAAGAACGTGAACTTAAATAAAATTGTAACTTGAGTTTAAATTTTTTCTGAATTTTGTTACAAAAGAACAACCCCACAAAGATCTGTACAAGATAATCATTAAAAAAAACATAACTTTCTATCATAAACCCCCAAGAAATTGCATATCCTGCAATGTAAGTTAGAGATGTTAGGGTATGTTTTTTTTTTTTTTTAATTCTTTAAAAAATTACTTTCTTTAACGTCATGTTATATACTTTTCAAGAATAAATATAATATAATTTGTTTTATAAAGTATTTACATGGGAAAGAAAGTGTTTTCACGTCTCCTCTTTGACCCTGACTCGGGAGAAAGAAGCTGTTTCCATTCTCGTATTGAATCCTGTTAATGATTTCTTATCCCCGACCCATTAAGGACGGATTTTCGTCGTGCGACCCAAACCCGTGAGAAAAATGACATTCCTACTCAACGAGCACACATAAAGCTCGAATTGAAAAAACCCTCCAATCGAGATAGGCTTTCGAGCGCTGGAGGGACATATCGCAAACCCCACAAAGAGGAGACATCTACATATCATAGAAAAAATTCTAGCCGAACTAAGACAACTCTATCATGAGACATACAAACGGCCTTAAGTCGATCACCAAAAACTAACAATAAATAGCAAAACAAATTAGGGTCGGGTGGGGAGACCACCGCCATTATTACAAACACGAAAATTACATTAAAAAAAACCTCCGACCATTGCCGTTAGAAGCCTTCGGTGTAGGGCAAATGACCAATGGGCTGTCAAGGGAGATAGCCGACTAAGAGATCTCAGCCACCAAATGACAAAACTCGCCTGGAAATGAAGCCCATCCATTCGGCTTCCAAGCTCCAAACCAGTTTAGATCCACCTAAATGAAGTCACCACACCGTACACCGCCACCACAAATGAGAAGCTCACAACGAGACGAGCCGGAATACTAAATTTTATAGTCGAGAGTCCTGCGACACGCTTGGAAGTGGCCCCAAAACTCCGTCCCCCTTTCACTCTTTTTTCATAAGTTCGTGAGAGAGAGAGAGAGAGAGAGAGAGAGAGAAAATTGAACTCTAAGGAATACGAAGGGCCCGTTTAGTTCGCTGATTCGAGTTTTTAATTCGAGTTAATATGTGACTTTATGTGAGAGCTTTTTACTGTAACAAAAAAGTTAAATGTGACTGTTTCTAAGAGTTTTTTACTGTAATAAAATTTAAATTCTAAACTTAAGTCGGTGAAATGAATAATGTCGAATTCAACCACACTCCTACTCTTGTCAAATACCGTAAAATGCTTCCGCATAGAAAAAAGAAAATTGATTGGATATAAGCAAATAAAACCATGAACTTCCTTACCCTTTGCCAATAATAATAAAACAAAAGAATAGAATAAAAGGCAAAGTGGTGCCGCAAATAGAATAAGAAAAAGAATAAAAGAAAAAGGAGGAAAAAAATAGAAAATAAGAAAAAAGATGAAAAAAAAGAAAAGAAAGAGAGAGAAAGAAAGAAAGGATAAGAATTGATTTTTTTTTTTTTGATAATTAAATTGAGATTTTGTTGTCACATGGTATTTGGCCTACAAAAACTTGGGCATAAATTTATCTCCGCTTAGATTTTCCTTATTTTAAAGTGACAACTACTTGTTTTGATAGATACCCCATTTTTAGCTTCTCTCTTTCTCTCTCTCGTAGTCTTATTTTTAGGTTTCTCTCTCCTCTCTCCTCTCTCCCTTTCTCTCTTCTCTCTCTTTCTCATAGTTTCTCTCTCCTCTCTCCTCTCTCCTCTCTCTCTCTTTCTCTCTCAGGTTTCTCTCTCTTCTCTCTCTCTCTCTCTCTCCAGAAGGGCAAAACCCTAAAGAGCCGTTTACACCCACCTAAGTAAGTTTTCTCTCTCCATCTATCTCTCTCTCGCTCTCTCTCTCTCTCTCTCTCTCTCTCTCTCTCTCTTAAAATTTGAATATATGGGTCCTTGTACTGTTAAACCTGTCATTTGCATTCCCTGTATTTATATTTTGTGTAGCTGGGATTGAATTTCTGAAATCTGTTAATTTTTTTTCTCTCTTTTTGTTAAGCAGATCTGAGATTTGCGGATCTGAGATCGAATATTAGATTTCTAAACCCTAATTTGTTTAGCGTTTACTTTGTCAATGGAGAATGTAGATCTGGGCTTGGGTCTTTGTTTGGTATCCTTTTGATTGCTTAGAAAATGTAGGAGGTGTAAATAGATTTGGATCTGGGAATTTATACTTTGTTGTTCGGAAATTTTGGATTTCCCTTTTCAGGTCTCCAAGAGCAGAAATTTTTGGGCTTTCTATTTGGGATTGGATTTTCATGCATTTCCATAATTTTTCCATATTTGAATCCGTGGTGTAAAGAAAGTTGAAGATTTTTTTTAAGATATACTTTCGTATGTTTTCTCAGCAGCCAAACAAGGGTTGATCTTTAAATTTAATGGGAGGATCTGTTTGAATTTGTTTGCTTAAAATCTGGTCATGCTTTAATTTTGGTCTATGATTGGTTCACTTATCCCTCCTGTATGTTTTCTATTTCTGTTTACATGATCTGGAAGGAATGCCCTGTAATCAAATGCGCCACTTTTATGTTTATTATTCAAATAATTCTATTAATTAGTCAATTCAAAACATGACAATTTCGATTGTTTCCATCATGTTTGTTCTGCATTTGTAGCTCACATTCATGGATGATGACGCATTGAATATGCGCAATTGGGGTTACTATGAACCGACTTTCAAAGGTCATCTTGGCCTGCAGCTCATGTCAAGCATGGCAGAGCGTGATACCAAACCCTATATGTCTGGACGTGATCCTACCACGGTCATGGTTAGCGCCAATGGTGCGTTTCATCCCAGGGATTGTGTAGTATCTGATGCTCCGGTTCCGATGAACTATGTAAGGGACAGTTGGGTTAATCAGAGGGATAAGTTTCTGAACATGTTGCCTGCCAATCCCAACTATGCTCCTGTTCTTCCTGAAACTTCTGGAGCTCACTCATTGCAGATGTTGCAGCCACCGGAGACGACTAGGGATGAGAGGGTGGGTAGAGTTGAAGAGCCTGTTATTGTTAATAAGGAGAGTGGCCCCTCGAAGAAAAGACAGGGTGGGGGTGCCCCGAAAGCCCCAAAAGTGAAGAGGCCAAGGAAACCAAAGGATAATACCAATCCCGCGGTTCCACGCGTGAAGCCAGCAAAGAAGAGTTTGGAGGTTGTCATAAACGGGATTGATATGGACATTTCTGGAATCCCAATTCCTGTTTGCTCCTGCACTGGAACTCCACAGCAGTGTTATCGATGGGGCTGTGGTGGTTGGCAATCTGCTTGTTGCACGACAAATGTGTCGGTGTATCCTTTGCCAATGAGCACTAAACGCCGCGGTGCTAGGATAGCTGGAAGAAAAATGAGCCAAGGTGCTTTCAAGAAGGTATTGGAGAAACTTGCTGCTGAAGGCTACAATTTTGCTAACCCAATTGATCTGAGGACTCATTGGGCAAGACATGGTACCAACAAGTTCGTAACAATCAGGTAGATTTACGTTGTTGGTGCCATTAGGGGACTTCCATTGCATCTGGTCTGTTTCACCTGTATATATATCTATGGCCTCTTGCAGAGATCCTTAAGATACTTTAGAGTTCTTGAATTTTCAATGTTGACTGATGATACTTGTTCTTGAAATTTGGAATTGTTCTTTGTTTTTTCTAAATTTTCCTTTTGGATTATGACAAGGGCTTACTTTGCTGGCCACTGAGACATTATGTGGATGCGTTGTCATTTATTATATCGTTTTTGGATAATATTCATTCCCCGTTTAATTTAGAGTTGTTAAGATTAGCAGTTAAATGCCTCTTTGCTATCTTGTAATATTGTTCCTTGTTGTACGATTCCACAACAAAGTTAAACTAGTCTAATGTTGGTAGGTTTTGTCAAATGTCAAGTATGTGATTGATAGTGTTATAATGCACATTAGTATGTCCTTTATGAAGTATCATCGTTGCTATTAGTTACTAAATTTTGTGGTTACTGGTTTCTTATATACTCAAGAAATGGAATCCCACAGTTTAAAGTGCGAATCTTTCTTTTTGGCTGTCTGTATCTTGAGTGATGTCTAGTTTTTCGAGGGCATTTTTGTTCATTGTTGAAACATTTTATTTTCTTGAAGCATTCTGTTTGTCATCTTGCGGTTGTGTAAAAGATTTCTTTGTCTAATTCTTTTTTCTCAAAAAAGGATTTTTTTTTTTTTTTTTTTGGCTGTGTTATAAAAGTAGTGGATGGATTGCAATCAACTTTCAGGCTTGGGGAAAACTAGCAGTTTAGCCAGTTGGGTGAAAACGACAGAAAAGTATATTACATTTAAGTTGTGAGAAATGAACGGAAAGGGACCATCGTTTGTTATGGTAAATGTAACTCGTGGAAATGCTATAGATTAGAAATATATCTTTAGATTGTTCCCTCTTGTTTTTCTACTTCATAGGAATCAAAACTCTGCTACGGTTGTGGAAAGGGAAGGATTTGTGCCAAGAGTGGAATATTGTAGTGAGAATAGATGGTTTACATTTACTTTTAATCTTTTTCTCTAAACTGATACTCTTTATCTTCTAATGCTTGCCGCAAGTGGTAATTATTCCCACAGAAATATAGCAGAAAATGTTTTAAGACAACACCAAAGGCTTTTTGTTCGTTTTTGGTAGAGTTGTGACGAATGCATGTTGTCAACTACGCCTAGAATTGTTTGGATGTTATGTTTGTGGTTATCTTTGTATTTGAATAATTGAGAAGCATTATATCATATGTATGTCTAAAACGGGTTTGATGTCTTTGTTTTGAGAACCAACCTAATCACCTGCTTCATCTTTGGAATAACAAAATGCCTAAATCATTCTGTAGCTATATATAGAAGTCATCAAGGCTCCTTTGATTTTGTTAGTTTGAATCACAACTCGTGTTTTTTCTCGCAAAAATTTAAATTTAACTTTTTGTGTTATAGTATTTTCTTTCACATAAAATCACTTTTTAACTGAAATTCTCAACTCGAATCAGCGAAATAAATGAAGCTTAAATAGTGTCAAATGGACTACTTCCATATTTGAGAACATCTTCGTCCAAAGAGGATACTCTTATCCTTTTAACTCTGATTGTGCCTGTCTAAAAACTCCTGTCTGTTCATGAGGTTGATATGTTTCTATGACTATATATGCATCACTTTTTATGTTTTCAGCGTCTCTTTTTCATCTTCTCAGGGCTATCCATCCGACATTAGTGAAATAACTAGTCTTCACTATTTTTATCTTTGTATGGCAGAGGTTTTTCCCAAAATTTGCAGGCTTTTCATGTGTTTTTTCTTTTTTAAGGCATTTTATATGGTTTTGTTTCTGCATTAATGATTAAACGTCAAACACAAGCACATACTCTGTTTACTGGTTATTTTTTGTTAATGCTTTGTTGCTTGTGTTCTACTTTATGTCAAACACCTATTCTTGACTAATTATTCATAATACTCATTTCAATAAGGTGAAAACTGAAACCTACTTTAATTGTGGCACATCTGCTATAGTTTGGAAAAATAGAAGAAAAATAGACTACGCCATTCCCCTAGTGGAAACTTTGCATCAAGAGGAATTACTCTCTGAATATATAGAAACAAGATCGTTAAAGAGATGAAAGGGTCTAAGCTGGCGATCGGGCAGAAATTGATGATTTAGGATACATTTGTAGCTTATGTTTTGCATATTTATTCCAACTTTATGTTTTAAGGTTATTGTTATACCCTGGTAGTCATAATTAATTTGATATCTAATAGATAATATATCAAAGTAAGATGTATGCCAGTTAGGTGGGTCACATTTTTTTTTTCTATTTTTTTTTTAAAGTAGTGACATTTATTACCTGTCGTTTGGCTAAATAAATAGGCAAGGTGTGAAAAAATATACAGCAAAAAGAACTCACTATTGATCCATATGTTTGTTTGACCATTAGAGCACCATATTGTATAATAACTCATCAAACTCATCAATATAATGTTTAGTGTGGCTATCGTATTGTATAAATTAATACGGATGGTAAATTAATACTTCCTATGTCGTATTATTGAATATGGTTCATTTTGGTGTATTGTATTATTTTGTCGCGGATCTATGACTCATGTCGGGATTGGGTACGATAGGGGGTTGAGGTCGGGCCGACATAGAGTCATGTCGGAGCCTATAATTGTTTAAAAATTGAGGAGACATAATGCAATTTTATATTTTCTAAAAATTACATTTTGACACCTTAATTTTTATAAAATTATATTTTGAACCCAAAATTTTTGTAAAATTACATTTTCACCCTAAAACTTTTGGAAAATTATATTTTGACCTTAAAATTTTTGAAAAATTACATTTTAAACCTAAAATTTTAAAAATTTTACATTTTACCTCTTGTACAATACGTCATGGCACCAAACACCCTATTGTATTATGATAATACAATACAATACAAGCTACAAAACATGGACTCGTATAGGTGGGTGATTGAACAATTAAGTGTCAAGGATAAGTTTGAGATAGAGATTTGTTGGGAGGACAATTTTCCTAGTGATTGTAAAAATTCCTTTCACAAGATTTATTATTAATTAAGTGTCAAGGATAAGTTTGAGATAGAGATTTGTTGGGAGGACAATTTTCCTAGTGATTGTAAAAATTCCTTTCACAAGATTTATTATTATTCTTATTATTATTATTATTATTATTATTATTATTATGATTATTATTATTATTATTATTGTTATTATTATTATTATTGTTGTTGTTGTTGTTGTTATTATTACTATTATTGTTGTTGTTATTAGTATTATTATTATTATTATTATTATATATAAACTTTTGGGAAATGCTATGGTACTGCAGAAGTTGATACTTGATAGTCATATCTGACTCTCTACGTGGCTTTTCTTTTTCTTTTTATGTGTCAAGAACATCAACTCTTATTTTAATTTTTTGTATTAACTTTGAGTTGTTACTTTTTTGTTAGTAAATACAATCTATTATTAATTGACTTAATGATCTTTTAAACAACTATGAATAAGAAAATGACGAGTAAAATAATAGATGATGCACACAATTCCTGTAGAATTTGTGCAACTTTAATACAATATTCATTTTCCTTTTCCAATAGAAAATTTTACACAAAATTTTCTATTGGAAAAGGCTTGAGATGAATTAGCATTGAACACGCTGTTTAGTAATCTAATTGCAGTGTATCCGTCATCACTAATATTGATGTAATTAACCAATCACGACAATTCCAGGTAGAATCTTTAAAAATTTCAAATTTGTTAAAAAAAAAAAACGGATGACAATCTACATATTATATCGTGCTATATCACATTTTTCCTTGAGTACCAATTAGTTACCTCACTGTTAAAATAAGTTGTTGGAAAAAAAAAAAAAAAGAAAGAATGATGCCATTTGTGAATATTAATTGTCGTATAAATATTGGTGTAGTGTTTGGCATTAATGAAGCTCCCAGCTGCAAGCAAATTAGTACTATTTTACATTTGGCAATACATAATTTCCCGGTTTCGCATATCCGCCTCGCCCCATTGACATCCCTACTGAAAACTAATTAAATCCGGAAGAAATTTACATGCAAGTTGAGGAGGCATCACATGATTTATACCATCTTCTACCCAAATATTATTAACTCTCGTCACATCAGAAACCCCTTTCTCTTCATTGGTCACCAATCTGGGAAAATATTCCTCATCAAAAACTTCCCATTTGTCAGTAACGATGGTCTTCATGGATTCACTTTTACCATGATCATCTTGATCTTGTCTGATCACCACAATCGCCTTCTGATCATCATTATCATTGTCCTTCACATCACAATCATCCAAAATTATATTTTCCTTCTTCGAAACCGAACCGTTGATTATCCGCTCGAGATCTCTAACATCTTCCTCCGGGATTCTTTCAATTGTTGGACAACAAGAAGCATTAAGAACACCCATTGCACTGCAGAGCTCAAAGAACAAAGAAAGCTCGTCGCCTTGAACCGTCGCTTTTTGCAGAATTCCCAGCGCCAAACGCGCCTCCTCGACCTTCTTTCCGGGCGAATCGTAAACCCTCAACAGAGCTCGAGCAATCCCTCTGCAGATTCTGCTATAAACCTCCAAAACCTCGGTTACAATGCATATCATGGCTTCAAAAATCAGACCCACGTTTATCATATTTTCCGTTTGCGGTTTAACCTAATTTAGAAACAAAATAGGTATGCATTGATCAGTATGAATCTTACGTTTTTCTACGAACATAGAGAATGGCGTATATCAGATAATCTTCGCCTTACAAAAAATAGAAATGGGGCTCACCTGGAGTAGAAGATCAAATAGGGATTGCCATGTCACGAGCCTCTGGAGCTCCTCCGACAACGGTGCTTCTACCGGTGAAGGCGGTTTAAGGATCTCGGACGACACGAGCGTCGATCTTTTATCCAAATAAGCGAAATAAGCGCGGACGAAGGCGTTGAATCCCCAGGCTCTGGTGGAGTGGCCGTCGGTGAAGCTTGAAAGGTCGAAGGGAAGCCGTCCGATGCGCTGGACGGCGGGGATCTTACAGCAGAAGACGCCGTGGATGAGCATGAGGCCCTTGAGGGCGACGATCCAGCTGCGGGTTTTCTCCATGCGAGTGGAGAGAGACGATATGAGGGGTTTCATGTAGAGAGGGGAGGTTCTTGCCCATTGGTAGACCCTCTGGAAGTTCTTGTAATCGACCGAAGAGTCGTCGTGGCTTGTCGCCTTTATGACGATGGCCTCGACGTGAGGATTCCGGTACGGGGTCCGCCGGGATAGCCCGGCAAGGTATATGCTGTTCTTGTCTTTCAGAACCCCCACGGCCCTCCTCCATACCTTCATGTTTTCTTCCCTTTTTGTAAACCCCGCCACCAAATCTGTGAATCAGAGGGCTTCCCTCTTTTTAGCTCTTGTCTTGAGCCTCATTTTCCTTTTCCTTTCCTCTCTTTCTTCCTAATTTCGTTGGGGAATTTGTTTTAATATATTTTATTATTAACATAATCTGTTCTACTCGTAAGATTTTATTTTATCATCATTTGTTATTCTAACATAATAGATTTCTCAAGTAATACAGATAATAACCTTTGCTGGCCGGCCCCATATATGCATATATAGAATGTAAGGCAGGATTTTTGTTGATTATGTTGTTAGAGTACCTTGCTAGTTTAATTATATTTTAATTAGAGATTTATACGGACTTCGTATTTAGACTTGGTCAATTATTGTTTGTTAAGTGGTTCTTGACAGTTTAAACGTGCTTTCCATTTTAAGGATGATGGTGGCAACGACGTGGCTCCAAACTAAGCCTGCAGGTTTCGTTTTGGCCAATTGGGAAAATGGTATATAGTTAATTTACAGTTGTTTGTTGCAGATCTTCTTTGTCGTGTCCGGTTCACCAGTTGTACGCTCTGTTTTTGGTACTGGTCTTTTGTCTTCATTTAAAAAAATATATAAAATTGGTAGTGATACTTGATGTTCTTCCGAGAGTAAATTACATTGTTACACTTTTAAATTATTCATTTTTCGCATAATGAATTTTAAATTTTAAATTTTAACAAATTTCACCATGAACTTTAAAATCAATAATAATTGAAGTCCATAACTAAAGAAAATTATCAAATTGACGGTTTAAAAGATGATAGTGGCACACAAAATAAAGACAAAGATCGTTATTTTTCAAACCATGTTACGTGTAAATCTTATATCTCGAATAGTCAATTAGATAACGCATTAGTTATTGGACTTTAATTACTTAATTTTAAAGAGTGCATTTTGTTAAAATTAAAAGTTAGGAATATATTACGTAAAAAGTCAATATTTTAGGATGCAACAATACAAGTACTTGGTTCATGATTTCTCCAAGTTCTGAACCCATGAAAAAGTTTGAAATCAATATTTGGTTAAGTTTTGAAGAACCTGAGTTGTGGGTTTCGAACTCATTTTAAGACCTCGTTCAGTTCGTCAATTCAAATTTTTAATTTGAGCTGAGATATGATTCTGTAACAAAAAAATTAGATGTGATTTTTTGTGAGAGCTTTTAACTGTAGCAAAACTGAAATTAAAAACTCGAATTTGTGAAATGAACGAGACCTTAACATATTCTAATTAAGTTGGTATTGCACGCTAAATAATTCAACCAAGCTCCCATCCTATTCGATTAAGGAAAAAAAAAAGAATAATAAAAAGTTAAAATAAGAACTATGATTTTTCTACATTGATTTCTATAGTTACAAACTTTTAAATTGATAATTAAAATGTGCATATGTTTATATTTTAATTTATCATGTAAAAAATAAAAATCATAGATTGAGAATTATGTTTTTTGATTAAAGTTATTTTAGTAAATTTATATAGTTAACTGTTTCATGCTTCTTAAATTCTGCTCTTAAGCGGCAGTTTTTTGAACATGTTCATGAGAAAAACAAAGTTTGTCAAATACTCTAAAATATGCTCGATTCTTATGAAAAGCTTAACAATTTAACATGACTTCTAACTAGTTTATTAAGATTTAATCTTTTGGGGATTGTTAAAATTTTTTACACTTTTAGGTTGGTTTTGGTTAGGGGCAATGGGACATAATAGACATGAGAATGGAATAGGTATTCCTCATTCTATTGTTTGGTTTGTCTTTTAAACGTGAAATAATCATTGCATTGGAATGAAATTCTACCAAATTGATGGAATAGCTTTTCCTAGGGACAAATTTTATAAATTTTTTCTGAATTTTGTCATTTGTATTACATGCCTCTTGAATTTTAAAATGTACATATCGTAACTCGGTCTGAACTATGACAATTGACATGTCTTCAACTTTCCTTATTCCATCTGATTTCGTCAAGTTTTTTTAGTAAAGTGGCATAAATAATATTATTTACCCTCTTGAGTGGTATTTCTAGTTTTTTTCTTTTTTTCCTTTAACGTTTTGGTGTTACAATGAGCTATCTCCAAGTTTTACAATAGCCTACCATTAGTAACACGGTCGGCAAATACTAGTGGCAGGAATATTTGGTATCACGACGGACTATCCCAAGTATCGTGGTAGGATAATGTTGATGATCGATGACTACGGTGGCACGTTTGTATAATAATGTTGACTTAAGAGTGGTTTTGGCATTCCAAGTGTTCTGGTGTGACCTTATTTGTTGACAGCTTTTTTCAATAACAAAAATCAATCTAAGACTTGTCAGTATGATATTTGTCTGAAGTGCTCATCTATAAGATGTTGAATTTTTAGAAAATATGCCAATATAAAAAGTTTAAGGAAGTATATAAGCTAATTTTTAGTTATAAAAATTAATAGGTCATAACTTGTCAAGTTATGATTTATAACTAGATAAGTCATGGATAAGCTTGTCAAGTTATGGTTCATAGCTAGACAAATTATGGATAAAAATCGTGAATTATGGACAATAACTTGTCAAGTTATGGTTCATAACTAGATAAGTTATGGACGTAAACAATAATTTAGCCTATTTATTAACATATGTAAATTATTGGCCTATTAATTTTAATTCATCTCAAGTCTTAGTCTATTTCTCTCTTTCTCCCTTAATTTTTTTAAATCTTACACCTCCGAAATTTAAAAAGGAAACAAAAAAAGACAAAAGTTATGCGATGATAAATATTTTCGAGCATCTTATTAGAAAATTCTCTTAATCTTTTTGGCCTATAAGAAGACTGGAAAATACCATATAAAAAAAAAATCAAAGCAAGTAAAGGTGTGCACAGAGACCAAGAAACCCCAATGACAACCACCGTCTACCACCTTGAACACTGACGAACTCACGACAGCTAGCACCCACGCAGTAAGAACCCACAAACCCAGAATCACACGATGAGAACCTACCAATCTTCGCAGAGAAATCAACGCCTAACACAGAAGCACAAACCGAGGAAACCTCACCCTCCTAACATTCTTCGCCGGAGAAATCAACCACGAAACAGATGAGGTCAATGGCGGATTCTGAGACAAAAGTGAAAACTTTGTTGGCTTTTCTTGTTTATTTGTTTTTCTTAGGTATTTATTATTTTTTTTCTTTTACCATTTTTTGTCATCTTAGAAGAAAAGAAAGGCTTTAGATGAGGAGATAAAAGCAGATAAGGTCAGTTATTTGAAATTTTTTATTGTCACTGTGCTCCTTATTTGGTCTGTGACTCTGCCTGATGGCCGGTCATATCATTATGATCGATCGGTAATTGTATTATGACCAGTCATAAGACATGCACAGCGTGCAGTCATAGTACTATGACCGATGGTCATAATTCTATGACCGACCATTAGGCAGGCAGGCTCATAGTGTGACTGCCTGACTAATGAGCCTGCGATCATAGCATTATGACTGTCAATCATAGTACTGTGACTGCGCTATGTGACTGTCTTATAACCGGCCATCAGTCATTACACTATAAGCGAGCCTGCATGATGGGCGGTCATAGAATTATGACCGTTGGTCATAGTACTATGATCGTTCAATGGTCAGACTCTTAGTGTACCAGTCATAGTACTTTGGTTAACAACTTTGTTTACTTTTCTTTTTTTTATATTTATTGTTTTTTTAACCCATTTTTGTCATCTTAGAAGAAAAGAAAGGCTTTAGAGGAAGAGATGTCGTTGATAGAATGTGACATCATAGTCAGATGATATCTTCACAGGAGCTTCCCCGTCTTCAACAACATATCTTAAGGATAAACATTTTCCTTGTGGTCGAATCCCAAGCACATTTCTCACCAAATCTATAAGACCAATATAAGTTGTGTTGGTGGGGACCAATATCCCCTTCATTTCACAACCGACGTATCTTGAAGCATGGTCCCAATATCCATTGTACGTGATGAAGACGTTCAATCCAGCAGCTATTCCTAAATAATTTCAAAAATAATAATTGTTAATCAACATGCAATTACTCCTAGTCGTCATCGAGTCATTAGAAATGACCAGTCATAACACTGTGTAATGGCCGGTCATAACGCAGTCATAGTGTGCCAGTCATAACTGGGTCATTTCAGTCATAATATTATGACCGGACGGCCATATCACTATGACTGCCTTACGGTCATAATACTATGACCGGCCAATTTGATTTATATTGTTATAATTTGACTCATAGACAATGACTCATACTGTTATGACTGACTAGTCATAGTATTATGACCGGACATATAACACTATGAGTCATAATACTATGACTCACAAGGTCAACTATGTCTTTGACGTGTTTGTCGTTACAATCAGTTTACATATCAGTTATAAACTATCTAAAATCTCAAATTGACGAAGGATATTTTCAATTCCTATCATATTAAGTTCAACCCAATCATTTTTTTTAAGTTCTATATACTAAGTGTCCCAAAAAATAAATTTAAAAAGACAAAAATAAAATAAAAACAAAAACAAAAAAAAATTGTGTACCAACCTCGATCTGTGCACAACCAGAGTATTGGCGACGAGGGAATGAAGGCGTAGGGAAGAGAGAGACCGAGTAGAGAGAGAGGCCAAATTTGAGAGAGAGAGAGAGAGAGAGAGAGAGAGAGAGAGAGAGAGAGAGAGAGAACAGAATATATTTTTTATGTTTCTAGTTTTTTTCTTTTTTTCCTTTAACGTTTTGGTGTTACAATGAGCTATCTCCAAGTTTTACAATAGGCTACCATTAGTAACACGGTCGGCAAATACTAGTGGCAGGAATTTTTGGTATCACGACGGACTATCCCAAGTATCGTGGTAGGATAATGTTGATGATCGATGACTACGGTGGCACGTTTGTATAATACTGTTAAGAGTGGTTTTGGCATTCCAAGTGTATTGGTGTGACCTTATTTGTTGACAACTTTTTTCAATAACAAAAATCAATCTAAGACTTGTCAGTA